CCCCACCCCCACCCCACCCCCACCTCCACCTCTCTCCCCCTATCCCTTGAGAGAGAGAGAGTGCAGTGGTGTGTGTGTGGGAAGGGGGGAGATGGAAGAGGTGGATAGAAGGGAGGTGTTGTTGGTGAGGTGATGGTGGAGTGAGGGAAGAGGTGGGAGAGAAGAGAAAGAAGAAGAAATGGGATGGTAAGTAAAGAAAAGAACAAGCGAGCAGGGCAAGAAGGAGAAAGAAGACGGGAAGGAGAGGGAAGGAGGAAGGAGAGGGAGGAAGGGGAAGGAGAAGAGTAGGAAGGAAGAGGAGGGAGGAGAGGAGAAAATAAAATGGGAAGGAGAATGAAGGGGAAGGAAGAGGAGGGAAGGAAGGAAGAAAGAGGAAGGAGGGAGGAAGAGGAACATACCAACATGGCCTTATACACGTTATTTGTTCTGGATTTCATTTTATACGATTTCTTGAGTCACTGTGTTAAAGGGTGTGAGGCTGGGAGTGACGGTGAGTGTCTGTGAGTGTCAGAGGTGTCAGGAGTGTCTGGGAGTGTCAGGAGTGTCTGTTGAGTGTCTGTGGTGTCAGGGAGTGTCTGGGAGTGTCAGAGGTGTCTGTGAGTGTGTGTGGTGTGGGGGGTGTCTGGGTGTTGTGAGTGTGTGTGAGTGTCAGGGTGTCTGGGAGTGTCAGGGGTGTCTGTGAGTGTATGTGAGTGTCAGGGTGTCTGGGGAGTGTCAGGGAGTGTCTGTGAGTGTGAGGGAGTGTCTGTGGAGGTGTCTGTTGAGTGTCAGAGGTGTCTGTAGTGTCTGTGAGTGTCAGGAGTGTCAGAGGTGTCTGTGAGTGTCAGGAGTGTCTGTGGAGTGTGGGGTGTCTGGGGAGTGTCAGGGGAGTGTCTGTGAGTGTCAGGGAGTGTCTGTGTTAGGTGTCAGGGGTGTCTGTGAGTGTCAGGGAGTGTCTGGGAGTGTGAGAGGTGTCTGGGTGTCAGGAGTGTCTGGGAGTGTCAGGGAGTGTCTGTAGTGTCTGTGAGTGTCAGGGAGTGTCTGGGAGTGTCAGGGGTGTCTGTGAGTGTCAGGGGTGTCTGTTGAGTGTCAGGGAGTGTCTGTGAGGTGTCAGAGGTGTCTGTTGAGTGTCTGTGAGTGTCGGAGTGTCTGGGTGTCAGGGAGTGTCTGGGGTGTCTGGTGCATGGGAGTTCCTGGGGAGCTAGGGTATGCCGGAAGAGTGCCTGGAAGTGCCGGACTTCTCAGGAAACGTTGTCTTAAGCTCAAAGAGGGGAGAGGTCACTAGCACCTGGGAATAATTAATCGGGTTATCTTGAGAATAATCAGCACAATTGTGTCTGTTTGTCATGGACGTATATTATGTTTGGTTGTGTTGTTGACGTGTGTATAGTTGACGTGTGTATGAGTGACGTGTGTATGGTGACGTGTGTGTGTATGAGTGACGGTGTGTGCTATTGACGTGTGTATGATTGACGTGTGTATGAGTGACGTGTGTTGGTGGCGTGTGTATGAGTGGCGTGTGTATGGGTGACGTGTGTATGGTGTGTGTATGGTGACGTGTGTATATATTGACGTGTGTATTGGTGACGTGTGTATGGGTTTTTTATTCTGTACTGCTCTCTTGGGTTGTATAAAATTTTGTTATGACGGTTTAAATGTATCATTGGCGTGTGTGTGTGTGTGTGCGTGTGTGTGTGTGTGTGTGTGTGTGTGTGTGTGTGTGTGCGCGTGTGTGTGTGTGCGTGTGTGTGTGTAAATAAATGCGAACCTATGTATTAACCATTTGCAAGACTGGAAATACAATGTACTGACATGTCTGACTGTGCATACATACATACATGCATACACAGGCATGCATGCATTCCCTCTGGCATAAAGACATTGAATGAAACAAGTGCAAGGATGATATTAAACAAGGCTGATCGTGTCATTGTGTAGACAGGTGAAACAGGACCATTTACTTACCTGTCAATCTGCATCTCGGGTCTTATTGATCAGTATTAGTTCGTTTCTGTCCGTATTGTAGTGAACTACATACCTTTTAGTAACATGTTGATATATGTGGATCAAGCTTGGTAAGATGGATAGATGGATAAATGCCACACGAGATATTTGGTTCTGGGATGGATTACTGTAGGAATTGAAGGTTGAGTCTTATTGCAATTTTACCTGTGGATTTTTTTATTTTTTTGTATGGTTCAGGTATAAAGATTTTGTTGGGTTAATTTTTGGTATTTAAATTCGGAATAATAATAATAATAATAATCTATAATAAAACAAAACACACACACACACACACACACACACACACTACCACACCACGCAAAAAAATACAACAACAAACAAACCGTGAACGAGAGACAGAAATATACCCCAGTATTGTTTATAACGGGACAAACAAACACAAGACACCCCCAGCATGGCTCTGGGCGCTGAGAACACCCCCAGCACCATCACTTGGCATGGCCTCCTGGGCAGAACACCCCCAGCACCATCCTGCCCAGCATGACCTCTGGCGCAGAAAATCCCCCCAACTTCCATCGCCCAGCATGGCCTCCTGGGCGCTGAACACCCCCCAGCACCATCCCCTCGGCATAGCTCCTGGGCTGAGAACACCCCCAGCACCATCCCCGCCCAGCATGGCTCTGAGGCACATCCCCCCCAGCACCGTCCCTGCCCAGCAGCATCACAGGCACCCCCCAGCACCATCCCCTTGCCAGCATCCTGGGCCATGAGCCCCCAGCACCATCCCGGCATGGCCTCCTGGGCCTTGAACACCCCCAGCACATCGCCCAGCATGTCCTGGGCGCAGAACACCCCCAGCACCATCCCGCCCAGCATGGTCTGGGCATGAGAACACCCCCAGCCACCATCCCCCATGTGTCCTGGGCGCTGAGAACACCCCAGCACCATCCCCGCCCAGCATATCTCGTGGCAGAACACCCCCCAGCACCATCCCTTGCATGGCTCCTGGGCGCTGAGACACCCCCCAGCACCATCCCCAGCATGGCCTCCTGGGCCTTGGGAACCCCATCTCATCCCGCCAGCATGGCCTCCTGGGCGCAGAACACCCCAGCACCATCCCCTGCCAGCAGCTCCTGGGCGCTGAAACACCCCCAGCACCATCCCGCCCGCCTCCTGGGCGCTGAACCCCCAGCACCATCCGCCCAGCATGGCCTCCTGGGCCTTTGAACACCCCCAGCACCATCCCAGCATGCTCCTGGGCGCTGAACACACCCAGCACCATCCCGCCCAGCATAGCCTCCTGGGCGCTGAGCACCCCAGCACCATCCCCGCCAGCGCCTCCTGGGCGCTGAGAACACCCCAGCACCATCCCCGGCGCGCCTTCGTGAAACCCCCAGCACCATCACCCGGCATGGCTCCTGGGCGAACACCCCCCAGCACCATCCCCGCCAGCATAGCCTCCTGGGCGCTGCTGGATGGACAAATTTATCACCTGACGATACAATACCTCCTGACGATACAATATACCTGCAAACGATACAATACCTCCTGACGATACAATATGCCACCTGACGATACAATACCTCCTGACGTGCAATACCTCTGGCGTTACAATGCCTCCTGACGATGCAATATACCACCTGACATTAATACCTCCCTGATACACAATACCCACCTGACGATACAATACCACCTGGCGATACAATACCTCCTGACATTAATACCTCCTGACGATACAATACCTCCTGACGATACAAATACTCACTGTCGATACAATACCCTCCTGACGATACAATGCACCTCCTGACGATACAATATAACTACCTGAGGAGATGCAATACCTGACGATACAATACCTCTGGTACATTTATCCTGACGATACGTATACCCACCTGACGATACAATACGCCTCTGACGATACAATGCCACTGACGATACAATACCCACTGACGATAAAAGTACCTCCTGACGTTACAATACGCCACGGCGATACAATATACCACCTGAGCGATACAATACTATCACAATGATGCAATGTACCTGACGATGCAATACCCACCCTGACGATACAGCCTCCTGACGATACAAACCTCTGACGATACAATATACCACCTGACGATACAATACACAACTGATACAATACTGCTCTGACGATACAATGCCTCCTGACGATCACAATATACCACCTGACGTCACAATACCTCCTGACGATACAATACCACCTGACGACACGTACACCTGATGACATTCTAATACCTCCTGACGATACAATGCCTCCTGACGATACAATATACCACCTGACGATACAATACCTCCACAATTACAATGCCACCTGACGATACAATACCACCTGACGATACAAGCACCTCCTGGCGATACAATGCCTATCCTGACGATACAATACTACCCACCCTGACGATACAATGCCACAACGATACAATGCCTCCTGACGATGCAATATACCTGATACGACCACCTCCTGACGATACAATACCACCTGACGATACAATGCCTTCTGACCAGGCAATGCGCCAACTA